TAACTTTTTTTTTTTTCTTTTTTTCCCCTGGTATTTGATATAGTTTAGAGAAAAAATTGAGGACATTGAATTCTGCAAGTGCGAGACCTCAGACGTACGGACATCTCGCACGGTTTTTACCTTGTAGTAAAATAACTCTTCTCAATAGAGCTAAGAAACTCTATTTACAAGACGCTGAATATAGAGTTAAAGAACCGATGCAAAGGTAAAATATATGTTTCATTATGATAGAAGAAAAAAAAGAAAATATATATATATATTTGATATTATATCATCTATAAATTTGTAAACTTCAATTGCTGGCAAAGTTTGGTGGTGTTTCAGGTTAAAAGCTATCATCGATAATATAATGCCATCGGTTATGGATGCGTATATCAAAGAAAGTCAAAAGGTTGCGGATGAAAAGTAAGTATCTTATCAGATTAAATTGATAATTTTTTGTACAAAATTGTTTAAGCTTGTAGCTGTACAGAAGACACATTTCGAAAATAAAGTAGAGTTAATTCTTTAGGTTGTATAGGATATTAAATTGGAACTCATTGTACTTTTCTATTTCTCAGTCCTCAATTATACTGGGAGATATATCGGTACTGTTGGTAAGGTGCCCCTCGTAAGAGGAAACCCTTTCTATTCTTGCCTGTCCAGTTTCTCTTTCTCTTTCTCTTTCTCTTTGTCGTTCCCCTCATTTCTTCTGCCTTCATCTTTTTCCCTTTAATCTTATCATGCTTATATACATCTGCTATCTCAATTACAATGAAAGCTTTCAAATCTGATATTAGATGTGTACATTTCCTATACATTTTTTATACAAAGTTTACTTATTTTTGAGATAGCAGAAGACAATTCGGGGCTTTTTATCATCAGTATCAATATTTAGTTTTTCACTGGCATCATTTTTTATGTCAAATAACACGTTTAACATTAAACAAATACGTTTCATTATTCTTTATCATCGCAATACCAAAATCCTTTATCTCAGTCGTTTTCCTTAACTATAATTTATGATTCCTTTCCAGGGGATTTGAAGGTTCACCTGCTGCTGCTGAAAGTTCTGATGAAGATGAAGGTTCATGTAAAAGTGCAGAAAAATCTAAAATTCCGAAAAAACGGTTTCCTTGGACAGATGAGACGAAGTATGTAATTTTTGTTTTCATTATTGAATATTGGATATATGTAATATATCTAGCTATATACGCACATGTGCGCGTATACTCTTCATGTAATTAAAAATATGTTAATACTTTACAGGAAATTAGTATATGAAATTGCGAATGCGAGAAGACAATACTTTAAAATTTTAAGACCTAGAAAAGAAAGCATGGAGTCATTTGTAGCAACATTTATGGATACAAAAGTGTTACCGTTATGGCCACCTGGTTACGTACGCCTACAAACTTTGTTGAAGTATTCAAATCCTGTCGAACCTACGTGAGTATAATTACATGATATATGCAACATCATTTCCCTTATTCCTACTTTAATCTTATAAGGGATTTTATTTTCCACGCTTCGCTTTAAGCATGGGTTGATTCTGTTCAGCTTTTCTACTTTCTCCGAGGTGAAAGAAATATTTCTGCATGTCTCATAATCAAGATTATTGACTCTACGTCAAGATCAGTTTAACTCGTTTTTTTTGCAAATCGCGGTCAGCAGATCCACGCCTGAAACGCCAGTCTACATCTATCATCAGGTAGTTAGATGGTAGTTCTATTTTCTGGTCATTGTATGTTTTAGGGAGGTGATTATGTTGGATTAGAATTACAATTTCCACTTCTCGGATAAAAATCAATATTGGAGATCTAATAAAAATGAAAGCTTGACAATTACAAGTTTAATATTTCTAATTCATTTGTAGATCAATAATTGTAGAATGATATAATAATGGGTCTTAATTTGTCATTTTCTGCTCTTTTCTTCTTCTTCTTTTTTTTTTTTTTTTTTTTTTCTTTTTTCTTTTTTTGTACATATTAATTTGGAATGTTCGTTTTTCTTTTTGTATTCTTTGTGTGATTTTGCATTGTTTTACTATTTATCATTAAACTTCTCACTTTATTTATTTAATATTTTTATCTCAATTGAATAAAACCTATCTCCTTTCTGTTTTACCTACTATAACATCGACTTTTGCATAGTCCGTGTATATTACAACTGTTGTATGTATATTAATACTGCTATATATTTAAGAATTTCGGCAGATATATATATATATATATGTATATATATATGTATGTATATATAACATCATTATTTTATATTTCTGATTTTAGAATTAAAAGGAAAACGAAGAAGTTGAAAGATGTTGTCAGTGCAAATAATCTTTCTTCTTCTGCAAATACAATTTGCAATTCTACTGGGAGGCTTGATGTGACAAACAGTAATAATAATGCTCCAAATCAAGAAATGGAGAAAACCCTTACAAGTGCCACTAAGATACTAAACGTTACTGAAAATTCTATAAACGTTACAAATGTGGGGATATTAAAATCAAATGATAATAATCCTGAAAAGAAGCAACAAAGTTCTAAGCATAAAGAAAAGAACAAAGACAATGGTAATACGGTGCAGCAGTATGAAGCTTCGTCAAATATCGTTTCAAATTCTACAGTTGGAAAAATATCCGTTGTACCTACGGCACAATTAATGGCACAAAAACCAGTAAAAAGTCACATGGAAAAGTTCAATCTCATGGATTTAGCAAATAGTTCTCTCTCCATTACGCCTGTTAATGACTATCATAAAATACCTGGAAAGACGAACGAAGTTAAAAAGGATGTTGTCTCTATTACGGCCTATCCAGAACCTTCCAATATATTGTCTAATACTAATGAAGTTTCACAAAGTGGGCACGGATCTGTACACAGGCAAGAGACTTCGTATCCAACTACGCAACATACAAATTATTCATTAACGACAAGTCAAACTTCGCCGCACTCGAAACCCGTATCTTTAAAGCATAGAATATTACAAGACAATACCGAGATGAAAAATGACAAAAGATTAGATGATAAAGATCTTGAACTGACGAGTAAAACAGAGAAGAGAGATAAGAGACGTGAAAGATGTATGGAAAGTAAGCACAAATCGCAGGACACGAAGAAACGAAGGAAAGATCAGAAAATGATGAATGAACAACAAATAGGATCTATACATTCGGAAATAGTTTCAATTTCACAACAAACTTCTCTTTCGAAGGAAGAACAAGAACAAAGACAAATCGAGGAGACAGTTGCCGCCACAAATTTCTTAAGTCAAATAATCAACGACGATGCTTCTACGAGGGCGATTACAGATAAAAGAAAAGATAGTGGACATGTTATAGATGAATCTATAGGAAATATGGTACCAACGGAACAGGAAAAGGACGTTCAAATGGTAATGAGGTCGTTAAAAGAATTACAAGAATTACAAGAAATGAATTGTTCGCCTAGCCATTCGCCAGTTAACGCGTGTGGCATTCAGAAACCCAACAAGTCAAGTGTACAGTATGTCACTTACCAAGAGGAGTATCAACGGTTGTACCTTAAAAAGGAAGATAAATTGCGACCGAAAGAAGAAGCACAGTGGTAAAGACAGACATTAATTAACGCTGGTAGAGCGATATTTTAGACAATGATTATAATGGATAGGGTGATAGTAATCAGACCACAAAGAAGAATGGACTTTTGAAAGGGCATTTGTCGAGTAAAATGAAAATGATCAAATGTGATTCTTCGAAACTTCTTCCATTATTACTAGCGTCGTTTATCGTCGACGGTCAAAAAGTAGAATGAGAATTTTTACGGCTGATATCTCATTGTATTGCGTCATATACAAATTTTTAAGCATTTGAGGAAAGCCGGAAAATTGTGTAAATACATTGATTCGTTAAGAATAACGTCAGACATACCTGTACAGAATAAGTATAAATTATGAATTTATTATAATCTATTAAGTATGTGTAAATAAGTTAGCGTCCAATCGTCGCCGTGAATGGGGTGGCTAAGAAATACCATTTTCCCTTTTAATAATATTTTATTTCGTCACTTCAATGTAGTATTATATGATTCTCAATTGAATCCGTAAAAGTCGGTATTGAAAACTGCGATTTTATAATATACGTCATTTAATTGTCGTTGTGAAATGAAACGTGAGATTTTTGTTTTTATAACTGCCGTGTTGTGGGAGGGGGGTAGGGTATCAGAATTAAAAAACTATTAATGCTTTCTATAAGAATATGAATCGTCTGGCCACCCTAAGTCACAAAAGCGAAAAGAAAAGTTTCGAATGTTGTTCCTTTTTGCACACGAGCTGTCATCATTACCATCGCATCGCAATGCAGTGTGCTGAAGAAAAGGAATCGGTTAGATTTATATATTTTTTATATATACTCTCTGCCTAAATTCGTGTTGCCTTCTGAATCATTTAAAATACAGATTATGAGAGTTCAAATTCATCAGAGTGAATAACGTGATGAACGTTATTGACTTGTGTGAATAAAAGTCTAATGCAAGAATTTGGAAACGCTTCCCTGATAGATAAACGGTGCAGCTTCGTGTGCAGTTAGATCGAATGATAGATTTAATAGTGAGCAATGTATGCGAGGAACCAATGTGTGAATTTAGTATTTAGGACAGAGGCGGAGGATAAGAAAGAGAGAGAATGAGTATGAAAGAGCGAACGAGTTAGAGTATTTTTGGAACACGTAAAAATGATAATTAGTAAATGTATCTTACGTGGATACATCCTCCCCTCCCCTCCCATTTTAACAATATGATACTTACAGTACGTTTAAGCGTCTTGTACAATTCTGCATTGAGAATTTTTACTAAGACGACTTCAAATATAAGTTTTGAATATTTTTTACAACATCTATATACACGACTCTCTGCCCTCTCTTTTATCCATACGATTTGCATAAATTAACTTCTTTACAGATGCCTTCTGCCTATTTTTAGATAGATAACAAAAGAATCAATGGTAAGATATTTTAACAAAAAGTTCGAAACACCTAGACGTTTTATCGCCGATGACAAATTTTAATTCGCCGTGTATCCTCCGGATCGACTTAATTGATTCGTAACGAATCATGACGAAGGATTAACGAATGCCGACAATTTAATCCATTGATTTTTTTTTTTTTTTTTTTTTTTCTAACATTCCTTCATCTATTAGCAGGATATATATTTCGTTTCGTCGGTTGGCCAAGGTCGTCGATTTTCCTACAAAAGTCGATTCACGAAACGTACGAAAGTTAGTCTTTTTTAACGAGTTAAAGGATTAGAACTTATAGAATTCGATGAAATTTTATCGAAAAAAATGATATTCGTACGGAACGTTCTGTTATTAATCATCGTTCGGTATTGCGTTTGCTTTTATTATGAGCCAGGTGGTATAAGTGATTCATTATTATTCGGTTCTAATTTAGAAAAAGACAAATTGGAGCGCGTTAATTTTTACAAAGAACGATATGGTAATCAGGACAGATCTCTATACGATAAAGATTTGTCGACGAATCACGAACGAAATGAGAACGCGGCTCGTTACAATGAACAGGATAAAGAACGAGGAGGATTCAACAAGGATCAACATTCTTCAGGTCATACTGAAATTTCAAACGAGTCCGACAATTCTTATCATAGACACGGTACTAGCTATTACAAAAAGGGTTATCATAATATTGGCTTCAGTAATAATTATCATAAAGATGAGTCCGGTAATAAAACGAGTTTTTACGAGGATAGCGACGACGAGAAAGGGCATAGGGCTTTTGACAAAAATGCTGCTTCCTATGAGAACAATTTGGAGGATATTTTCAGGGATGGAACACATGATGCTTCTTTTAGGGAAAGAAACAAAGCAGAACATGGGAATTATGATAATGGTCAGAGGTATGCTGTTTCTTTTTTTTTTTTATTTTTTTTTGTTTTATTTTGTTCTTTTCTTTTTTTTTTTTTTTTTTTTTCTTTCTTTTTCTTTTTCTTTTAAATTACTGAAATTTTCATATGAGACCAATCATTAAGAGGGATTTACTTTTTCTCTTAGATACGTTGATTCCCGTGCACGTTATGATCAGTTTCAAAATAATCAGCGATACGACGATGAACGAAAATATCTGCACGATGACGTAGGAAGGTATTACGATAGAAACCGTGATCATTTTCGAGATTACGGTTATCAATATTATCCATACGGATACGATGATGGATATGCATCTTCGCATTTTTATCAGAATTATCATGTTGATACACAGCCTAGACGCTACCCCGTGGATCCATATCTTCTCGAATATTTAAGAGATCATCGGTAATTCTTATTTTTTGATTTTTATGCACGTTCAATATTATTTCAACTTGTTGAAATTTTTTTTCATTTTCATTCTTTCACTGCAGTTATATTCCAAATTATCATAATCGAAGGATCTATTATCCGAATGAAGAGTATTACGATAATACCTATCGTAATCGTTATTACAATATTAATTTCAATAATAGATTTGGGAACAGATACTTGCCTTACAATGGTGGTCGTCATTACAATTAGAATATAGAATTCTAATCTTACGATTGCAAGTAGATTTAATGGTAAATAAATTAATTAATTAAAATTGCAAATATAATAAAGAGAATAAATTTATGAAAATCATGTATCTGTTTTTTAAGTCATTAAAATAATTTTGCAAGAAATAATCCTTTACTGTACTACTATATAAATCAATAAATCCAATAAAGCTAGTAAAACGGGATACGATAAAGCTTCTAAAAAAAAAGAAAAAAAAAAAATGAAAAAGTAAATGATTTATTTTTTAATTATTCAAATTGAAATAAATCAATGATTTCCTTCAACTATATTCAATAAACAACTTACGTATATGATCCATTTGCATATCTAATGCATTGTCATAAATGATAATCTGATACATCGTTATGTATACATTGAGGGCATTTGAACAGATTCGAAAAATCCAATTAAATTCCGGATCTACTTTAATTGGACTTACAGTTTCATCCATGAAGTAGTAATTTATTTAAAGGACAAATTCTGAAAATGGGTAAAAACAACGATAAAAAAAAAAGAATGCAAAAAATGGAGAATTTATGGTTAGTTTTATTATACATTAAATTTTTTTTATACATACATTGAACTTTAATACGTATAAGATTAGCTTTGATACGTAATATGGGATGTCAATAATATGAAATTGATGTTACATAATTCCATTAATTTAAAAGTGTCTAAATTTTTTTTTACAATCGAAAGTATTTATGCATATAACGAATAGAGGAAGACGCAAATGGTCAACTGGTCAGGTTATTTACTTTTACAATAAATGTATCATTGATTGTATAATAAATATAAGAAAAAATAAAAAAAAAAGACAAATATTAAAAAAATAATATTAAAGTAAAATCAAAGAAATTGAAATTAATAAAATAATACATTATTTATATTATTATACGTTTCATGACAAACGTATTGGATATATCACGTGATCATAACGTAATGTAAAACGTAATATAAACAACCAATCAGATAACAGTTAACATAATATTCATTTCATTTGCGCGGTATCCAGCAGCCATTACACTCCTGATCTTCAAACACATCGTAATTTCTTAAATTTTTTTTTCTCGATCATTCAATTGTTACATTTCACATACGAATTCAAGTACAGTAGCATGTAAGTAATCATATTTATTTAAATAAAATATTCTTTTGTATAATTAAAATAATTACATCAAATTAATTATCATATTACGAAATAAATACATTAGTATTATTAGAAATAATTCTAAAGTGTTTCTATATTCAATACTACATTATTTATATTTATCTTTAAGTATTATATATACATTGTAAAATCAATGAACTTTATAGTAAATAGTGGTTGTAATATAATTTATAAAGCCTATAAGTTTTAATTTGTAGGTTGTGTGAGAGATTGCCGAATGTCCTTGACATAACCAATACAATCGTTTCGATATAAAAATATTATCATTTCACTTTAAAACTTACGATTAGACGAGTTAATATCTCCCATCTACAGAATAATATTCAATCATTTAAATCATTATTTTCTATTTGAGAGAAAGAGAGAGAGAGAGAAGAAGGGAGGAGCATAGCTTTTATTAACGCATAATACATTAAATAGTTAATTACTATCTAATACTCTTATAATATTTTATAAATATACATGTTGAAAAATTATAAATTTAATAATACGTTGTTATAGTACAGCTTTAAAACTATCTTACTTTAGTTGAGTATAGATATGTATGTGTATATATATATATATAACGTTGTATTATATATGTATGTATATCGAGAGTTATTTAACGAGGTCGAGCGTGTGTAAACAAAAATCTAACTCGAATTTAGCCTTTAGCAGAAATCGACGCTCGCTAATCATCTCATTCAAGTTTAGTACATACTCGAAAGTGTATGTAAACAGTTGTTTTTAGGCATTCACGTTGAATTTGTTTTAAAAATGGCTATCATTTATAATTAAATAAAATATAACATTTCATTTAAATAAAACAAAGCTAATCTTTTTAGCTCGTTATTTGCAACGATATATTATTATTTTTACTATATATCGATTCGCATAAAACTATGCAATATTTATAGAAAACATTTATTCGAAATTTGTATTATAAATATTTTGAATTATAAATCTTATATATTTTTATTAATTTATAATAATAATAATAGAATATCTTAAATCGTGGGTCTCCATATGCAGCAACCTCCAAGTGGTGAGACCTGGACAATCGATATTAGTTGCGATACAATTATACATCATACAAATGTAACGCAAGTACTGTCGAGCTAATGGCTGCTCTTTAGTTAATTTATTTATTATAATGATAATTAGAATGTAGAATTTTAGAGTCTTTAATTCTTTTATCTTAAGTTCTTCAAATTTTAAACACTAACTTGTATATAAGTGATCATATATTACGTACATTTTATATGTTTTACTGATTAGAAAATATGATATTGAATAGGAAGCATTCTAATGTGATATAATTTTATTTTTAGCTATCTCAAGTGCTCGGACAAAATTTGATATCGATAATACATTCGATGAAATCTGGATAATCGATGTTATTTATGTGTTTCAAGTTGCGATAAAAAGTTATGAATTAAAAAGTGTATTAAAAAATTTCATTTTTATGTTTCAGAACGATCGACTCGGACATTTGTGCTAATTATTAAAAAGTTTCTATACGCGCAATGTGTAATTTGAAGAAAAAAAAAGCCATACGTGACATTTTTAGTTCTATTTCGGTACAATATTAGCGCCACTATCTGCTTCTGAATTCGTTGATAATGTCAAACACGAGGAAATTTTGCAATAACGGCGCGCGCGTCGCGTCAGTCGGTTTTCGTGACGTAATGCGCGATGTACTCGAGCCAACATAGCGAGTTAGAAGCCTGGGGGGCCTGCGATGACCTTGCAGTGTTTGTAAACAGACACACGTTGGTACACGTTGTCGTCGGAGGAGACATTAAAAAAATAAACGACAAAGGTGATCGGTAGATCGTCGGGACGAATATCCTCGTCGAGGAAAGTGCAATATCACGTTTGGGGAAAGAGATCGAAAGTGAATAGAAGAAAGAGAGTCGAGCGAGGAAGAGAGAGATATTCGTCCAAGGAACATGGAAGTGGAGCCGATGTGTATAGTAGAAAACGAAACGGTGAGTCGACAATAGATAAAGAACAATAATATATGACAGTATGTCATGGTGATGCAATCTGGTATAGGAAAAAGTAAGAGGAGAAAAATGAATGTCCTTTGATAAGCGTCACGGAATATTACACCATGTTGTGCAAGGAGGGCGCGCGGGAAAGCGATAAAATGTTTTCGGCGGGTTCGTGTCCTTGATCAGGATGAGGGGCGTTGTTTCGATTGTTCATTTACGTCAGGATATCTAGGACCAGACGTATGAAAGAGATTGTTGGGTGAGGGGGTAAGTGGAATGAGAGGTGCCTGTTTATTCGCGCGATATTTTCGTGGCGTTGGTATCGTTCTCTCTTTCTCTGTATGTCAGACGATGCTCACGTGTGTTACCTAGTCCAACATTCTTTTCGAAAGATAGCGCCATCCTCGCATTATCTTCATACTTTTACCAACAGTTGGCGTTAATATACAAAACGTATTTATCTTTATCGATGTATACGCCGTATTTTCATATCCTGCGAACGTGTTGTCATATTTTTCGGTGAATGGTACGTTAACTTTTCGTCAATAGGTGTCCCATTTGTTGGAGATTCTACGTGCAACGTATCATAGGAGTCGAATAATACGTTAAACTTCCAAGTTATTAGGTATGATTCGATAGTACGAAATTTTTACGACGAATTTATTTTAACGATAACGATATGTATATATATATATATAATTTTTTTTTTTTTACTTTATCATATTCGTAGAACTTACGTTTTAATTCCGATATGTTCGGTATTTATCATTCATTATTTTTCTTCCTCTTTTTCTTCTTCATCATTTTACGAGAATATTGGACCAGCGTTATCGTTTGAAAAGAATCCCATTTAATATCTAGTCATAGAGATATTCACTCGTGCGATCAAATTCGATGTTATCTCTCATAGCAATAAATGCAAGGATGTGGAAACTAATTTTGCGTTGAGTTTAAACATTGACGGTTAGAAAAGATTTACGTAGTCGCTTATGGCATTAATATGGTGATATGTTTTGTGTGTGTGTGTGTGTGTATTGTATGAGAGTGTGTGCATAAGTGAGTGAGCGAGCGAGTGTCGTGTGCTTTGATACGTCATTACGAAGTTTATTCTACTTCGTTGCACGAAGATAAGCGTTATTAATAGCGTTCGAAGTGTGTCGTGTTTCATCCTTTTTTCTTTTTTCTTTTTTCTAATACTTTTTTCTTTTTTTCTCTCTTTCTCTCTCTTTCTCTCTCTCTCTCTCCCTCTCTCTCTCCCTCTCTCTCGTTTTTCGTTGAATAAAAACATCCATATTCATCGTTGCACCTTCGAGAGTTCGTTGTCAAAAATGTCGATGCGTCATACGGTGGATCATACGGTGAGAATATCTCTGAGAGAAATACTCTGAGAGAAAATAAAATTCGAAATTGACGCGTTTAGTTGTATCATGTTAGGTTATGTTACGAAGAGAAAGCGATTCGCTCGATGGTCGAACGCGCGAATGTCGTGAGTTTCGATGATAAATCCAGTAGGTGGTAGTACGATCGGATAGTTCGTATCGCCGGTCACGGGTGCCGGTACCGGCCTTAGACGTCCCTGAAAGGCAAGCTGCCTCTTAACCCGTGAACTGCGCAGTTGTCGGAGCTCGCGCGACGCGTACCACCGGTAAGTTTTCTCTATTAATATAATTTTTTTTTTACTCGCATTATCATCGGCGAACTTTACGCAGCTCATCTCCCACGTAATACCAGCACATGGCTGTCAAACTTTCGACTTTTCGTCTGTTTAACATGATTTTTGTTCGTTTCGAATGATCATCTCTATTTGTGATATATATATATATATATTTATTTATATGTGTGTAACCGCGCGCGTGGTATGTATATATGTATATGTGTATGTATATACGTGTATGGTATATATATATATATATATGTGCGTATATACATGACATTTATATCCCTTATTCGTTTCGATATAATTTCTTTTTACGATATATTAGATTTCTTTTTTTGATAATTTCCTAATACTTATTTTTACGCTTCTTCATAACACTTTTTCTTCTCTTTTCTTTCGTTTCTTTTTTTTTATTTTTCTTTTCTTTTCTTTTCTTTTCTTTTACTTGTACCCTTTGAAAAAAGCTATATCAATTAATTGAACCACGTTAGAACTTTTGTTCCGTCCCGTTTTTACAATTTCAGAACGCACTCGTTTCCGGTATGATGTGTCAATGCTCTTCTACACGTATACTTCGCTTCGTGCCCCGCGTAAACGTTTACAGTGCGCAATTCTGTTATATCGTCGTATTGTATAGTCGGTGTTGTGATAATATCAGGGAAAAAAAAAAAAAACAAAAACAAAAACAAAAACAGAAACAAAAACAAAAAAAAAAAGGGTGGTTTCGTCCATCTTCACAACACTCGTCCATTCGGAATCGAGTTTCTTCGACCAAATGCGTGCTTTAGAATGCGGGCATCTTTATTTTTTTTTTTTTTTTTTACCTCTCTCTCTTTCTCTTTCTTTCTTTTTTTCTTTCTCCTTCCCTCCCTCCCTATCTATCTCTCCCTATCTCACTGTCTGTTTGTCTCTCTCTCTCTCTCTCTCTCTTTCTCTCTTATTCTCTCTCTTTTTTTTCTGTCTCTTTCTCTTTTTCTCTTATATACATACACATATACACAGACGCGTACAAAGGATGCGTATGCATCTTGTTCGAAACGCATCCGTGCATTTCACCTCGACACGCCGTTTTATGGGTTTCTCGATATACGCAGAAAAGAGGATACTGCTATGGGAATCGGCGTTAATGTTCCGTTTCTATACATTGTAAATCGATTTATTCGAAGGATAAAAAAAAAAAGGAAAAGAAACAAAAAAGAGAATCGTTACACACATACATACACACACACATACGTACATGCATACATATATATATATATATATATATATATATATATATATATATATTCACGATGAAAATACAGCTTGGTGGAGGAGATGAAAGGAATTTATCCAGTTGGATAGGGTTGGGTTAGGTACGATCTCTCCCGTATAACATTTACTTCCATGGTGACCATCGAAGGAGAACGCAGTATGTAACGGAACAAACGGAGGATTTCTTGTACTGCGTTCGTTTTTATTCATCGTGTTAGTGTTTTCTTTTCCTTTTCTTCTTTTTTTTTTTTCTTTTTTTTTTCATCGATGCGTACGATGATATTTATCCAAATGGATGTCTTGTCGAGTTCATGTTTTAAACCGCCCTCCCTCCTTTTTTTTTCTCTCTCTTTTCTTTTTCCTTTTTTTATCTAGGAAAATATTCTCACTTCTTTATCAGCGATTGTTTTCTCACGTTTTTCTTCTTTTTTTTTCTCTTTTTTCTCTCTCTCTCTCTCTCTCTCTCTCTTTTTCTTATAACACAATTCATTATGACGGTCGTAGGATTTATTGTAAGATTATAAATTTGCGATATCAATGTCCGATAT